GTGTGTGTGTGTGTGTGTGTGTGTGTGTGTGTGTGTGTGTGTGTGTGACGTACAGTCATGTACATATTGCTAGAAATCTATACCAAAAATCATAAAAACGACTAAACATTAACAATACTTTTCATGAAATAAAAATTGGTAACTAATCTAATCAGATCAGTTCAGATTTGAAAAGCACGGGACGTTATACAAATCAACGATAGATAAACGCGTCGAGAGCACACTAGCAAAAAGCAAAAAAGCCGTTAGTTTGGTTTGCAACCTTGCAACGCCTTATATAGTATTCGTCGCTGACAGTCGGCAGCTATGACGGTCAGGTGGCAGCTCTTGCAGAGACGTTCCTAACAATACATGACACACCTGACCCCCTGATATGCCCAAACCGAACTTTTGGTTCTGAGAGCCATCTTACGTATTGAACAAAGAAAAAATTAAAGCAATTTCAATTTTATCATATAAGCTAAGTGGAGTGTTGCTTGAAGATGATCAATTTCTTTTTAAAACCAATACTAAATTTCGTCACTTAACATCCAAGTAAATTGATCGAGCGACTTATTGTATGGACTGCCAGTTACAGTATTCGTGTTTCGATTCCACGAGCACTATTTTCTTTTAACGTTATGTTTTTAACAGCATTGTTTCACTTTTTAATGTTAACGGTGACAAATCGCAATATTTACTCACTATAAGTTGCCTAAGGTGGGTGGGTAGCGTAGGGTGGGTATGGATAGATTAACAAATCACGAAATCGCTCTGCAGTTTTTGTTCACGATCGTGTCTTCTGTGATTACGCATTGTTCCGCGTTTCGTTTCCATTTGTCTATTCAGTTTTAATTACTTTCAAAGTTTTCTTTCTAGTTTTAATAATATGCCGCACTTAACGAAATTATTACAATTAAAAAATTATTGTTTTATATGAACAAGACTTACACCTATCCAGAGGTTAAAAACAAAAAAAAAACTATATTATATAGTCATAGTCAAATAATATTTTATTTTTAATGTGACTCAGACCATGCTTGCCTCAACTTGCAAAGCAATCCATAAACCGCTAGGCTACGACGACGGCTTTACTACAGCTGGTTGAAATTTCTATTCTGTATTTAAGTAAGAACTATACGTTAAAGATTAAATTGGCTTAAAAACTTTCTTACAATGTCATTCACTAAAGAGACGACCAGCGAGTCATTCCAAAATAAATTTTACTGCTCACGAGTTATAAAGATTAAGTTTGTTTAACAATTTTCAGAACTATTTTTTGTGTTCAGAACATTGACTTACAATTATATGGACGTCGGGTCCGCGCTAAAAAGTGTCCGCACTTGTAAGGCGCTAAAATCGTATACAGAGCGCCAAACTCCGCTTTAGTCTTCATTTGTTCGACTGACAGCGCGATACTGCGATGACATTACAATTTAAATTTCGAATAGGTTGACTTGGGACATTTTTTCGTGGTTTTTGTATTAGACCCGTCGTCCATTTATTTGTAAGTCAATGGTTCAGAACCAAAAGGTCGACAAAGTCGGGGGGTCAGGTATCTTGTACATATGACTGTACGATTCTAGGAAGGTAAAAAACAGCATTTATAAAGGCACTATGAAATGACTTTCAGGCACACTTTACCATGTCGTGTCTTATTGTTAGTCAGGTTTACATCATAAGCTACTAAAGAATGCTTTCTTAATACGGTGTGTAATATAAATAATTGGCGTATAGATAAAACCTGGCATCATTTGTACAAGTCCACTGTAGGGTGGAGTGTAGACGTAAAAGTAGCTACAGCAGATACAGCGTTGAGCTCGCTCAATTTTGATTAGGTGCGATTTTGCAGTACCACCCCAAGAAGTTATACAATATATAAACAAGCACTGACAGAGTGCATAATACATAATATATTTTATAATAGTGTCAAAGTCTGCCATCTTTATAAGGGTTTTGAAAATATAGATTAACTTCCTGCAGGCTTAGCATGAGCCCGAAGACAAAAGTTATCTCTTCTTCTAACTGTCAAATTAATCCTCGAAAATCTCGAGAAAATATCGTAAGAAAATTGAAAACATTATAAATAAGCGCCATTGATTTATAAAGCGCCGCTTATTTTTTGTACTATATTGACATTACAGAATGTTAAGACTTATTTCCGATTAAACTGGCAACTTAT